ACCCTCCCTTCCCACCCCTCCTGCCCAGTCCCTGTCCCTTATGGTAACTGTTAGTCCATTCTTGGGTTCTGTGATTCTGCTGCTGTTTGTTCCTTCAGTTTTTCTTTGTTCTTATGCTCCACAGATGAGTGAAATCATTTGGTGCTTGTCTTTCTCTGCCTGGCTTATTTCACTGAGCATAATACCCTCTAGCTGCATCCATGTTGTTGCAAAGGGTAGGATTTGTTTTCTTCTTATGGCTGAATAATATTCCATTGTGTATATGTACCACCTCTTCTTTATCCATTCATCTACTGATGGGCACTTAGGTTGCTTCCATATTTTGGCTATTGTAAATAGTGCTGTGATAAACATAGGGGGGCATCTGTCTTCTTCAAACTGGGCTCCTGCATTCTTAGGGTAAATTCCTAGGAGTGGAATTCCTGGGTCAAATGGTATCACTTTTATTTTTTAAATCAAATTAAACTCACCTCCAGCTACTGCTCTTCTCCCTCTTTGCCTGGATTGTCCCTGGGCTTGTGTGACCCAAAGCGGTAACAGTCTCTCCCCACACCCGTGCCTATCAGTTGCTCTGCCCACCCCCGGCCACCCTACCTCCGCTGCCCTCGCCTCTCCCTGTGGTGCTGCTGTGGTGCTCTTGGACGCTGTCTGCTGCAAGCACGCTGGTGGCATGCCCACCCCCGGCAGGCCTTTTCATTGTCCACAGGCTGGGTACAGGCCACCCCCTCCGAGGTCCTCCTGCCCAACACTGAACTACCCAAAAAAGGCCATTTCCTCCCCAAGGGCTGAGCTAGACTCTTTTTCGCTCAAAGGTTCTGGCAACCTGCTGCCCTGGGCCTCTTTGGTCCTTCGTGGCCTTCCAAGGCCAAGAGCATCTATCCGCGGGATGGTGACCCAAGGGCCTGCCTCACTTACTGACTTGTGCCAACAATCACACTAGTGCCAGTGCCCAGGAACAGCGCCCTGGGTTGATTGTTCCTCACTGTGGCCCAAATGCTGAAAGAGAGCTGGTGCTCAGTAAATCCTGGTGAATGGACGGTGTCCACATTCTCCACGCTACCCTGGCGGTCTAGTGCCTAAGCAGCCAGGTAGCACAGAGCGTCAGAGAGCCCACGGCGAGAGCAGACACCCCTTCACCCAGGAAGCATGCCACTACAGCCCCCTCCAGGGCTCAGGCAGGCCAGCGCCTGTTCCCGGGGAGCAGTGCAGGCCAAAAACAAAAGACAGAATACGTGCCAGGCATCTCGGCCTCCCTCCTTCCTGCTGGTTCTGCTCAGGCTCCACGCAGGAGGCTTCCTGCAGCTCCCCAGGTGGAAGTGTCACTTTTCCCTGCCAGGTGGGGTCTCTCCATCCCCAAGCCTCATTTTCTGAGTTTCAGGGTAAGGCCTGAAAGTGTTCACAGACAGGGCTGATCACATGCCGGTCCCCAGCCCCGCTCAGGCCTCTAAACTCACTACCCTGAAGAATGAATTTGTTAAAGACATCAACAATATCAACATGATTTAACTCTCCTAAAATATCATCTTTTTTGGGCATTATGATCATTTTTATTAACCAAAATAAAGTGTTATTCCAAACAATTCTGTCCCAAAGAACATCAATGCTGAATGAGACCTCTATTCACTAGTACTTCTCTCCATTACTGTAAATGGGTAGAAGCCTTAAAATTAATACAGTTGCATTATTATTCTATGGGGCCAACTAATAAAGGTATTACTAATAAAAACTTCATTTCATCTAAACTAGTAAAATTATAATTATAGATATCAATTAACGACATGCTGTCATATCTGGTATTCAAAACAGAGAACTTGGTTTTAACTCCATCCCCAACACATCAAGCCTCCCACCTCCCCAACAAAATCAAGCACTTATTTTTAAATGCTGCCTTCTAAAATATGTGAATGCATCTCAAACATAGCCTGCCTCATCAAGAGCGCTGAAGTCTGGCATAAGTACCATGGTTTAAGTTGGGTGACGATTTGCAAAGAATGTACAATATCTGGGAAGGCTACTGATGGATACAGGCTGCTGAACAGAAAACAGTTCCAGAGATCCGTCTGTTCTCCCTGTGGGAGTTACGTAGCCAGTTACCTTCTCCATCAAACGGCACAGCATCTGGGAGAGGAAGATCATAGAAGTAATGTGCACTCTAAACATGTCTAGACGCCTCGTGCTGTTATTCAAGAGACACTAAAGATTCTGGGGCAGTCCCAACCCAACCATATTAAATAGCTTTCAAGTGCCGATTTTGGGACTTGGTTTATCTACATTATAAAAACTTATCTCATCCTAAAAGAATTCCAACCATCCTGAATCAGAGGGCCAGCTTTCTTGACTTGTGGAGCTCTGTCAGTCTGAGAGTGCCACATCTTTTGAAGCCTTTTGGTGTAATTAGCCTTTCCAAAAGGGAGAGTGACTTTCTTAGCAGATGGAGTTCGAAAAAGATGGGTCTTGGTGGCTCTGCATGAGTGTGCTATAAAGACTGTCAGAACTGGGTCCACTTGGATATTGCTAAGAAGATAAAGACCCACAGGGAGAGCCTCCCCAGCCAGGCAGTTCAGACCAGTCCATAATGATTGTGTGAAGACTTTGAATGTGCTATTAGGGAAAGGAACTGTTGAGCGCTTCTGAACATTTCAGATGTGGTATTTCTAAAACAGACACTCCCTAGGAAGTGAGAAAAATGCAGGCAGAGAACAAAACAACCCTTCAGGCAAGCAGATCGGTTTCAATCCTCTTCTGCATTTGTCCAGCTGTGTGACCTGGGAGAGCTGTTCAGCCTCTCTGAGCTTCGGTGTCCTCCCCTATGAAGTGGGGGTGTGCAGTACTCCCCTGTGTTTACTGCCATCTCTGCCTGCCCCTGCCCCTGCCCCCTTATATCTGACCCTGCTGTTCCTCCTTCCAGACGCACTTCAAGCCCAGTGAAGCCTTTCCTGGCCACACCTTTACCTGTTGGAGCTGGCCACACCCCACCTTGGCCTCCCCAATCATGTAGCTGAGCCCTTGGGACACTCTTGCGTGTTCTTTGGCACAGAGCTATCTGTCTTGGCTCTGCAGTGAGTGCTGGAGGGCAGCATTTTATTGGGGACCCTTTGTGCACAAAAAGGTGATGTGAGGGTCCAGGGAACCCAGGCAGGCCTGCTGCCTGCTTCCTTTGAGCCTGCATCAGGGAGGGCAGAGAGAGGCCATGCGCCCGTTATGCACTGTTCAGGGAGGTACACGTGGCTCCCGCTCTGAACAGGCACGCCGAGCAATGGGAGAACACTGCAGGGGCCTGCCCTGGACCAAGGGGTCAGGGTGGTCTCCCCAAGGACACAGTGCTGGGATCTTGGAAGCTTCCTCCGAGAGGAGACAGGAGAGCGTTATGCAGGCAAAGGAACATCCCTGCACCTGCAGCGGGGGCAGCAAGCGCGCTGCATCGGATGGAGCTGCTGCCGGCCTGCCAGTGGGCACGGCAAACAGACCACCGCTTTCCGCCTGGGTGGCACGCCCAGGTCACTGGCCTGCAGTCTTTTGGACTCGGCTTTTGTGGGGCCCGTTCCCAGTCTTCCTGATGCCGCTCCTGTGCCCACTCTGCCAGCCTGCCCGGGTGCTAAGCTCTGGCAGTGTCCTGGGGCTGATCTGCCAGGACTGAAGAGCCACGTGTGGCTTCCAGTTCCCCACCCACCTGGTTCCGTGTCCTCCTAGTGATGTCCTTTCTGCCCTTCAGGGTGAGGCTGTTTCTGTGGCCCCGCCTTGAGGTCATTTGCATCCCAGGATTTAATCAGGAAGTTGGTGGGTCCCCGCCTCACCTGGTACAGGAAGCACTTGGCCTTAGTGACTTTGCAAACGTCCTCACTCCCACATGTCAGGTGTTCACTGCATCCATCCTTTGTATTTATCCTCAATAGCGTGACCTTCCTCCTACTTGCCTCCCAAACCCACCTAAACTAGGAGCACCTGAGAGCCCCTGGGCAGCCCTCCTTCCTCTGACCCCCATCTTTCTCTTGTTCCTTACAGCCCTTCATAACTCCTGTGATCCGAATATGGCTCAGCACCTTCTGTCCCTCTTCAGTTCTAAAGGGCCTTTCTCTTACCTGATGAGTTATGTGAGCCTCTTAGGACTTCCAGCAGTTGAGTAAACATTTCTGAGCACCTGCTGTATGCCAGCCCTTTTGCAAGAGGTTCGTCACTTAAAGATGAATCTCCCAGGACCTTCAGAGAGCGTCCAGGCCAGGCAAGGAGAGGTCACCTGCTGAGATGGCTTCAACATGATGTGGGGAGGGGGAGAGCAGCACCGGGGCTGTCTGCCCAGGGGACTGGGAGAACGTCCCTGGAGGAGACAGGTGGCAGTCACCTGCCTCTGGTGACCGTGAGGCCTCGGACCACATATGTGGCCACTTCCCCACAGCTGCAACTTCTGCTCCTCCAAGTAGTTTTTCCTCATTGAGCAAAGGTTAAGCAACATGGATACTACATATGTGATAGATGACATGGAACCTACATACACTGCACCGATGTCAGTGTCCTGGTTTTGAAGTTGTTACGTAAGATGTAACCGTTGGGAGAATGTGGACGGAGAGTACCAGGGACCACTCTGCGCCATCCTTGCAACTTCCTGCAAATCCATAATTATTTCAAAGTAAATTTTGTTTTTACTGAAGAATATTGTCCTAAACTAAATCTTTCTCCTTCTCAGGGCCTGGAACATTCTCCTGTTCCTCACTCCCACTTCATTTCCTGAATTTCAAATAGCACTGGACATGGTCTCTTTTACTTTGTTTTTAGAAAATCCCAGTGGAGCGCCTAAGTCGCCTTCTGGCCGAGGCCAGGCGCATGGGGGCAGGAAGGGGATGTCCCTCCCTCTACCTGTTGGGGGGCGGCTGCTCCCTCAGCACGCTGGAGACGGGAGCTCCACAGGCCGTAGGGACTATAAAAAACCAAACGGGAAGTAAGTTACCGCTCTTCTTAGCTCCCTAGAAGCCCTCACGTCATCAGAAGTGGCTCGTGTAGGATGCACTGAGTCATTCTGCTGCACTTCGTGGTTCTCACACAGCCCATGACATCAGAGGCACCAATGCAAAGCCATAAACTTCTCCCCAGTTTCCCAAAAGCCTCCCTTTTCATCTTGTGAGGAGACAGCATTTGCCCTCAGGGTGAAATTAAGTGTGGATGCAAATACAGGCGCTGAGGGCTGCGTCACCTGGTGAGCTGTTCGCAGAACTCAGGTGTGCCCGCGAGGATGAGCAATGAATCTGGCTGGGCCTCCCTGGGACCAAGGTGGGCCAGGGCTTTGATTTGCATTTTCTCCAAAAATGTTCTTACAGCCTGCAGCTCAGTCACTGTGACTAATCCCGAGATTTAATGGCCTTACACTGCTCACTAAGGGCCCAATTCAATTAAAAAATATCGTGCGGAAGCCATGAATAATCCTCTTTCTTTGCTTTTCCAGTCTTCCAAATGGGTTTCTTCTGTTCTAACTCTGTGCACGGAGGTGGGCCTCGGCCCCTGGGGGCCTGGGCAGCCCTTCCCCAGCACGTGCCCCGCTTCCCGCCCGCGCAGTGGGATTGCCCATCTGGGGCTTTTACACTGACACTCACGCAATGACCTTTGCTTCTTTCCTAGTTTGACAAACTGTGGAGCGAGATGCCTGTCAACGCCAAGGGGAGGCTGAAATACCCGGACTTCCTGAGCAGGTTCAGCGTGGAGAAGGCGACAACCCCGCCGGCCCCTGGCAACTCGGCGGCTGCCCAGGGCGGGAGCGGCGCGCCCCAAACCCCAGGGGAAGGCGGGTCCGCAGCGCCGCCGCGCACGCACAGCCCGGGAGCAGGACCCGCGCCGCGGAGGCAGCGCTGTGTGAGTGCCCCGTCCCGCGGGGTCGCCCAGTCCGCACACCGCCCCGGGCCGGGGCAGGCGCGTCCCGGAGTTCCCGCAGGGTCGGAGAGGAGCCGCCGGGGCCTTAGCCTCCGCTGCCCGGGCAAGGGGGGGGGTGGAAGGAAGAAGAAGGAGGGCTCACGGCGAGGAAAGGGGTAGGTGGGTTGGAGCAGAGACCATCCACGTCAGCCGTGCGGCCGTGCTGGCGGCGGGAAAGCGCGCGCCCCGCGGGAGAGCCACTCTGCGTGGAGCTCTGCTGCACACAGGGCGTCGGGAGGCAGAGGTTGGTACCCCCACTTCACCATACCGCAGCTCTAAGAGGTGTCCACACGTGCTCAGCATCCCTCAGACCTGATTTCAAACCCAGGCCTGTCCAACTGTGCGGCCCTGGCCCTGGGCTGGGCCTCCAGCCGGGGGCAGAGATGGGGTGAGGGGGGAGCAGCCGGGCTGAGCCCTCGCCTCACGGCAGGAAGCATGGGGGTGTGCGAGGGCCGGCGCAGCAGAGGGGACCCACTCCCAGACCCAGCGGACCTTGCCCATGTGCAGATGAGCCCTCCGTGAGCGACAGCTGCTCCTCATCCATTCAGCCGGTGCACATCCACGGCACACCTACTATGTGCTGGGTCTTTTCTAGAGCGGAGAATGCACCAAGGTCCCTGGCCTTGTGGAGTTTACATTCTCATGAGGGGTGATGGGCAAGAAACAGTATAAACATAACAAGTAGAGTATTTAGCAAGTTAAAGACAGTAAGTGGAGCAAGATGACGTGGTCAGGACCACTGCACAGAGGCTGGCATCCCAACCCCTGGACCTGCAACACGTCCTGAGGCGAGGGGAACCCGGGTTGCAGCTGGAATTAAAGCTGCTAACCAGCTGACTTTAAGATGCGTCCGGGTGCGTCCAAGGCAATCACGGGTCTGTAATGGAGAACAGGAGGGAGAAGGTCAGTGCTGCAGAGGTGTGATTTGAGAAAGCCTCCACCTGATGCCAAGGGCTTTGAAGGTGGAGCAGGGGCCACAGGCTAAGGAACGCGGCGTCTCTAGAAGCTGGAAAGGGCAAAGGAATGGTTTCTCCTCTAGAGCCGCCAGACAGAGCACAGCCCTGCCCAGTGGGACCCATTTCAGTGTCTGACTTCCAGACCGCAAGAGAATGAATGTGTGTTGTTTTAAGCCACCAAGTTTGTAGATCTGTTACAGCAGCCACAGGAAACCCACACGGGTCTGAAGGGCCACGATAAGGACTGGCATCCCCTCCCAGGGGGACAGAACCCCCGGCAAGATTTTAAGCAGAGGAGTGACATGATCATCTGCGTGACTCGTTCAAAAGACGACATGGACACTGTGCTGAAAAGTGGCTGTGGGTGGAATGGGTGCTGAGAGGACGGGCAGAAGCAGGGAGGTGGTGGTGGGGCTCCGGCTGTGACCCAGGGAAGAGGCCATAGCGGCTCCCAGGAAGGTGGGCAGGCAGAGCTGGTGGCCGGTGGGCAGACGCTGGATGCATCTCTGAAGGGGAGCCCACAGGACTTCTCAACAGATTAGATTGGGATTGAGAGGGAGAGAGGAGAGTCCAAGGAAGATTTCTAAGTCTTTGGCCTCAGAAACTGGAAGAAGGGTGATTGTCATCAACCAAGATGGGGAAGGTGCAGGTGGTGCAGGATCTGGGAGGAAGACCCGGATTCCGCTGAGTTCGTCACTGTATTGGATGACTGTGCATTGCGGGGCGCTCGGGGGAATGCCTGGGCGAGATCTGCAATGCAGTCCCTGTTTTTAAATGGAAAATATGATAAAACAAAGAACAGACTCATACCTGGTCCACATAATTTCATAATATCAGATGTTCTGGGAGTGGGTGCAGGATTGGATGTCCATGTAAATAGCAAGGGGGTCCCCGGCCTTTGATAAGACTCTTCTGGTGAAAAACATGTCATTGTCACTTCACACACACACGCACACACACACACACACCAGTAATGTGCCCAAATCTTTGTACATCTCTGTGTATTTGTATCTTGGCTATATATTTATTTCCTAAACCATTTTGGATATTAGATTTGGCACAAGTACAGCACACCAATGGAAATAAAAACTAAATGGCAAAATTACCATCCACACTTCGCTTTTTATTTTATATCTGAGGCAATACTGCCTGTGAAATTGTGAACCTCAAAACCTGAATCCTCTCTGTAAGTCGTTATTTTTGCTTCCATTTTGAATCTCAAATTACAAGACAATTTCCTTTCTTGCTAGACCCCCGCCAGTCCAATCAGGGCACCAGGCGCCGCCCCCTTGCAGAACTGTGAGCCCATCGAGAGCAAGCTCCGGAGGAGAATTCGGGGCTGTTGGCGAGAGTTCCTGCGGGAATGCAGAGAGAAGGATGTGAACGAGCAGGGGGAGATCGCCACGCCTGAGTTCCTGGGTTTGTTCCGCTTCTGTTCCCTTGCAAATACAGTGTCACCTCCTGGCACAAGTCCACTCCCCGGGCGCAGTCAAGAAAACAGTACCCCCTGGGGACTGGCAGGAGAATCTGGGTTGCATGCGGGCTGGGCGCCACCACCACTGGTAACCAGGGACCCGCCTGGACCCGCCACCAAGCAGGTATGTGCCTGCACCATCAAGTCAGCTTGCCGAGGGCTCCAGGCGCCCCACTCACGTCAACACCTGTTTTGCCCTGTTGACTCAATTTCCTCCACATGTCACGTTGATAAACTTCAAATCACACCAGGTGGGTTTATGCTCACACTAATTGTTGCATACTGTTTATGCAGCATTTTACATTACAGAGAAATAAATCTGACCGTGTCATCCTCTGCTTGGGAGCCCCATTGGGTTCCCTTTTGTTGACTAATATACAGACCCCTTCATAAGAATAATGTTGTTAGAACCTCCAATATTAATATAAATTACTTTTATGATGGTCATAGCTTAAAAATGCACAAACAAAACAAGGTTTAAACTCTTTAAGTAAATGGCTCCTATCAAAAAACACTTAAAATTAAATATGAAATATGAAATCAGTAATAATCAGATGTTGTTACATTGATTTAATGGGACATGTTCCACTGAAATCACTCACCAGTGTTGCCTTTAATGCATGTGTGAGTCCCACCTGTTTTTTGGTTAATTCTTTTGATTTTGAAAATGTCATCTCAGCCTTCTTACCTTGTGTTGCTGTCATCATTGTTGCTGCTTTTCCTCTTTAACCATGAGCTCCCCGACACCACCCATCCATCATTCTGATAGGTTGGTCTGACTTAAGTAGTGCGTCCAAAACTCAATTCTGTGAAACACTACATATAAGAGCTAATTTTCACAAGGCATTCTGTGTCTTGGATACACTGCTGGTGACCTCCTGCAAGCTGGAACAGCCAAGGCCTTTGCTGGGCAGTTCCTCTGGGCCCCACAGCCACCCACCATGTGTCCTGGCTGGCCTGGGGTGCTACTTCTTTCCTCTGTGCAAGGACACAGAGACCTCTGTGTGCCCAGTGCACAGCAGCATCTCTGGCCCCTGCTTGCTTTGAAGGCCTCATTTGTGTAAAGTCCCCCTTCCACTGCTTCTCCCCGTCAGCCCCAGCAGTTAATGGAGTCTCTGCTCCGTGACACTTCAGAGCTTTCACACTGTCAAATAGAAGTCCGTTTATTCACCTGAAACTAAAATCTTCTCCCAAGTCTTTTTCAGTTATGAGTTTTCACTCCAAAAGAAGCTTTTGCTTTATAACTGGTAACAGAATTGAGCACTGGTACTAGTGCAAAGTGGAAGTGAGTGTTCATACTGTGACACTGACATGTGCCAACCTTGCAGGGCATCGACATGATCCTAATCAGAAAGCCAGACTCAAACCCTGAAATGGCATGGCTGTTGTCTCTTAAGGGTGGTCAGTGTATTTCAGAATAGGTTTTATACATTTTCGATCACCATTGGAATGAGAACTCAAAGTGTATAAATTCCTGCAGACTCTAAAGACAGTATCTCTGAAGGCTGGTTGGAAAATACTCAGTGAGAGGGTCGAGTCTGAACTCCCCCCCCCTATAGCTGGGCCCTGTCAGGCCCCCCAGCGCGGCAGGGGGATCCCCTCCCCTCACACCAGCTCTGCCTGGACTCCAGGCCTTTGCTCCAGCAGCTCCGGCCCCCTGGGAGCAGCTCCGTGACTGCTCCCTCCCTGCCTGCCACCCCACAGCACCCGGGGTCCCTAGTGCTGTGACCACAGCAACGGAGACTGTGCAAAGGCCAGGACGCTGGGGCCAGCAGGATGTGGGACTCCTCCCTCCTCACCACACTTAGACTCATCTGACTGACTCCACATCTGCCCAGCCACCAACCAGGCACCGGAAGTAAGGGCCTGGCCACGGCCTATAGCAGAGAAAGCGTCTCAACGAGTGGTGCACGAACAAATGGATGGATGAATGACCTGCCGCCAGCTGAACTGATATTTTTGTCTTTAGCTCTTGCAGAGAAATTCAACCTGGATATAAACAAAGAGGAGCGTCAGCAGCTCATCGTGAAGTACGACCTGAAGAACAATGGGAAATTTGCTTATTGTGACTTCATTCAGAGCTGTGTTCTCCTGTTAAAAGCAAAGGAAACCTCACTAATGCAGAGAATGAAAATCCAGAATGCCCAGAAAATGGTATGTGAAACCATTCTTCAGAAATGTGGGGTCTGGGGTTAGAAGGGGTTCCCGTTTTCCTCCATCCATCACAAATTCAGATCCTCTTACTTCATACAATGGTGGACATGGAGAATCAAGGAGGGGCTGCTGGCCAGTGAGGACCTGTCTGTCCAGTGTCCCCGGCCACACTGCCACCTTCCTAGGGACCCCTGCTCAGACTTTCTGTATACGCGAGTGATGTGTGAATAGCACTGTGTGATGTATGCACATGCATACATGATATGGACACCACATTTGTATGTTATTGTATCACACGTGTGATATGTGTGTATATTGCACTTGTGTGATATATCTATGTGCACATATATATGTATATATATTTGCCAAACAATCCTTTGTTGCCCCATTTCCTCCATTACTTAAAGGCTATGCAGAGCCAGGCAGTTTCCAGGTGAGCACGCGACCACCAGGGTCTGCCCAGCGGGCCCAATGCAGGCCATTTGGTAGTCAGGGGGTTCACATCTGGGTGGTGAGAGGCCTGGGTACAGGTGAGGTCTCCATCAGGCTTTGGAAACACTGCAAACAGCTCATTTACTTTCTCAGAAATGACTCAAAGATTTCCTTTCTTTTTGGAGCCCCATGAGGGTCTGGAGACCCCAAACTGGGAACCAGTAGCCTGGATCTCAAACTTTGAGTGGCAGATGCCTGATCACCTGGCTCTTCCCAGAGCACCGGAAGCATCTGTAAGGCCAATAGTCAGGAGCAGCACGGGCTGCCCACACGGTGCATCTGGGAGCACTAACAGGCCAGCTAACTGAAAAGGTGAAGCCAGGAAGGGGGTCAGAGCAAAGTGAAACATTTTTAACTTAAGAATATGTATTTATTCATCAACCATCTAAGACAGGCCAGACCCTTCTCTCTGAATGTGGGGTGGGAGGTTGCAGACACATTCTTTCTTGCGTAAACTACGCCCACGATGCATTGTCTACAATTTTCTTTTGGTTTCCCTCAAGAGAAATGAGAAAGTAAAGATGCTTAAGTAGCAACGGAAGGGAACGCTTCCCCTGGATGTTTACGCTTTCTCGCTGTCATGTGTGATTTTATCCTTCTCACCCACACCCAGTTCAACCCCAGTGTTTGCACGGACTTGCCTTCTCGAGTCCTTCTAAAACATCAGACACAAAAAGGCTTTTTCGTGCTCATATCCCATCATCTGTACCATTGAATTAAGTTACACTGAATTAAATAATAGTAGTACTGGCATTGCCAGTTTGTGAAAGAAACGCTGCCGATTCCAGCCACCCTTGGTCCCAGCTGCCGGGGACAGAGGTGCGGGGCAGCCCCGGCCAGCCCCAGCCAGTCCCCACGTGCCCGGCAGCGGTGATGTGCGCTAACCCTGCAAACATGGGCTGATTCCATGCAGGAATTTTCTCTGTAGCTTAATTCGTAATTCTGTGCAAAATCAAGTATGATCTTAGCGTATTGCTAGTTTAGACCAGCAAAAACTAGCATCAAAGGCTTAGGCCAAGTTACAGAAGAAAAACTTAAAATTAAGACAATTATTTCTCTAGTTCGGTTTTTCTTTGAGTGGAGAAAAGGCTGTGATCATTAGATACAGGAACGTAGAGAACCACGGGGACCGCAGTGCCTGCCAGGCCCCTGCCAGCTCTGCCTTCCTCTGCCCCTCTGGGCCTCAGTTTCCCTGACCATCCAGGGGGAGGTCCACTGGCTTCTAAAAGCTGTGGCGCCACCTTCTGAGCTCTCCCCTGACAGAGGCGGCCCTGCTTCCAAGCCCCCTGCCCATCCTCACAGCAGAGCCGGCAGGCCAGCCTGTGGGCCTGGGGAAGTGTCAGGCGGAGGCTGGGTTTCCAGGGAGTGGCAGGTACCCCCCGGTGCCCCCCTGTAGGTGGGCCTCTGGGCAGATGAGCTGGCACACCTCCCCTGTGCTCTGGCCTCGCTCTCAAACCCCTGGAGCCGCCACTCGTGTTCAGAACAGTCCTTCCACTCCCATCCCTGCCTTAAATGTGCCTGACAGGCGGTGGGACTTCCTCTGGGAACCTTTCCTAGGAGAGAGTGGGGCCCCTGGCCCTGCCTGGTCCTTGTACCAGTCCCATCCCCTCAGAGGCTGCCAAGGCCCCCAGCACGAAAGTGTGGAATTCAGGCCAGCTGTCACCCTGCGGAGACGCTAAAAGGGCCGTTTCATTTTCCTGTTCTTAGGGGCCTTCTGTGCAAGCTCTGGCAGCAGAGAGGCACCCCTCTGGGAAACCAGCCAGGGCACTGCTTTTTCAGGCAATGCTGGAGTCAGAGGTGGAGGCTTCAGGATGGATTGGTTGTACCTTGCTGGGATTGGAAATCCTTTCTTAAGTCAGGCTTGGGTGTGGGAAGAGCACGTGAGCACAGTATTGTTTCTCTCCATGCGTGCAGGTCAGCTGATTGGGTAAATTGGCAGCTAACATAGCTATGGAGTATCTGGTGAGCTTCCATCATAGATGCTAATGGTGTAAAACTTGAAAGCGATTTAACTTCATGCTAATTCGTTTTATGTAGTGCCATGTTAAAATTAAACTTTCCCAAAATGTGTTACACATTTTTACCTACAGGTCACCTCTGTAATACTCAGACAAGTGTTGAGGCTAAATCATGCTAAATACCTTGTTTTCAATCTGATAGCACCTAAATGAAATAATCACAGAGTAGGTACCGTCTAATTACTAGATACATTACAACCTTGCATTTTAAAAAAATTCTATTCATTATAATAACCTGCTGGAAGACCCAAACTGAAATCTCTTTTTTCCTTCAACTGTCTTGTAATCGGCCAGGAGGATGCTGGGAAGGGTCACTGATCCTGACGCTTTGCCTCCCTGAACCCCCCTTCCAATCCATGAAATGGGGATGAAGAGACCTACCTCCACCCCAGGTGGGGTGTGGGGCTAGAAATGACTTGGGATGAACAGCAGGGATGGGATCCTGCCGTTGTTATTGTGAGTTCTGCTTACAGGCTCCGTTCAGTAAGGACGCCCACCAGGGGAGCAAGGGGCGGGGCCTGAGCAGGGGGCAAACTAGGAATGAGGCCCAAGAGGGGGGCTCACTGCCCTCGCTCCACTCCCCACAGGGCCACTTGGCCCCTCCATCCTCAGGGGTGCCCTGGCCCTTCCGTCCTTCCCATTCAAAAGCTCTTTTCTCACCCCCTCGTTTTGGGTTTTTTGTTTTTCTAGAAAGAAGCTGGTGCTGAGACTTCTTCCCTTTACTCTGCTTTACTGCGTATTCAGCCCAAAATTTTGCACTGCTGGAGGCCCATGAGGCGCATGTTCAAAACCTACGATGAGGGCGGAACAGGGCTTTTATGCGTGGCTGATTTCAGGAAGGTGAGCATAGTCTTGCACGTCTGCTGCCTCTGAACAGGGGGCGCCAAATGCCAGCTGCCAGAAAACCTCAAGGGAAGAACCACACCCAGTAGAGGCCCTTTGGGACCCCAAGTTATGAAGGGCTAAGTCTCCTTGCCCCTCACTTGCAGACACCAGGCTGCCCTCCCAAAGTCCCTAAAGCCCTGAGGGTCTGTCCCCAGTGTAGCTGCCCTTCCCGGTGCCTGGGTCCACCTCACTGCCCCTGCCCCAGCTGCCCTGCACATGGCACTGCCCGCCTCCCTGCCACCCAGTTTGGCCAGCAGCTCTCCTTTGCGAGTCTGAGCTCCGGCACCTTTAACGCCCTTGAGACAGCGGCGCCTTCTGAGAACAGCTGAGTGGGCGCCGCCCCTCACAGCGCCCCCGGATCCGAAGCTGCGCTCTCCCGGGCAGGACCTTTGTTAGGTGTGGCTCTCCCAGCAAACCCGGCCACCCTCAGGGTGACTTAAACCTCCCACTTGTAGAACCACGTGGGACTCCTCGGATCAGCCAGTTCTCGACCCCACTCCCCACTCCTGTCTCCATCTCCCCGGCCACTGAAGTTGAGAAAATGATTGAGGTCTGGGCTATTAGATTAAAAACCACGTTCACAGTCAGTCAATACATCAGAGAGAGAGGGTTATGACCTCAAAACGCACTTACAAAAAGCTTTTTCCTTAGGTTTATCTTTGCTTGAACAAGAGCTTAAATTTAAAAAAAAACAAAACACTTGTTTTAAAATAAGAAGCCAGGAGAATTAACAGCAGTTGGTGGCTGGGGTGATGACAGGGCAGGGGGGGTGCTGTGTGGGGCACTGGCCAGCGAGGGGCCTGCACTGCCTGTGCCTGGCCATCTGCCCTCTGAGGCCTTGAGAGGCTTTCATTGGCTCACATTGTCGTTACTTTGGGGTCAAGTGAAAATCTCACCAGGGATTCTCCCTGGCAGAGGTTGGGGAGGAGGAGGCTCTATTCTCCTCTTCAGTCAACATCCCAGGAATTTGGGGTGCGGAGCAGCAGGGAGTGGTAGAAATGGAGACCTGACAGGAGCTGGTGCCCTTGCGGACACCCACGCTCAGTTTCCTTCTCTGCTTCCAGCCCACCGGCTCCAGCTGACGCCAACCCCACGGGCCTGGGCCCAGGCCCACCACTGACCATGGAGGAGTCTCCTCTTAGAAACAAGTTGCAACACAAAGCAAAGATAGGGAATTTATAACCTAATCGGCATTTGTATTCACCAGGGCACTTATCTGTCAGGATTTGTTTCAGCGACATGCAACCGGGGGAACTAACAGCAGCTTAAACATGGTGGGAGTTTACTTCTCTCTCACACAGTGGAAGGCCAGCTAGCGTGGTGCTGGGCATTTATCAGGGATATCGCTATTCTTGCTGTGACATCCTCAAACCTGGCTTCCTTTCTTAAGGTTGCCTCATGGTCCAAGGTGGCTGCTGGGGGCCCAGCACCATTTCCATATTCAGGCAACAGAGAAAAAAAAGACAAGAGAAAAGGGGCAGGCTCTTTTTCTTTAGAGAAGGCTGCCCAGAAGTCCCACCTAACATTTTTACTTAAATTTAACTGGCCAGAACACACCTAGCTGTAAGAGACGCTGAGAAGTGTGGCCTTTTAGCCGGACACACAGCAGCCTAGAAGAAAATCAGGTTTCTGTTCACTGAGGAGGAAGGGGTAGTTGGTAAGGGAGTGGGCAGCTGAGCAGGCTCTGCCACGGGCTGTATTACTGTCTAATCAACACCTCCCTGCACCCGCTCCTGCTGGCCTGCTCTCCTCCCAGGCGGGCCACACCGAGGCCTCCCAGCCAAGGCCCTGGGGCCAGTCTCCCCTCCAACCTTCTCCTCTCTGTCCATCCACCTTGTCTGAACATGTTGACCAGCTTCAGGGAAGCCGCAGTTATTAACCTCCCATTCTGAGCAGGCAGCTGGGGATGGGGGAACCAGCAGCTCCCATCTGGTGCCTCTCCCAGTTTCACGTGATGGCACAGGCGGGGCTGCCCAGGGGCCGGGTGAGGGCAGGGGAGAGAGATGGAGAGGGAGGAAGGCAGGGGCTGCCGGGTGCAGCTGCGGAGGCGGGATGTTCAGGCCGGGCAGCAGGAGGAGAGGCGCACCCCCAGCCCTTTCCTGGCAGCTGCCTGGTCAGATGGCACCAGGACAAGCTGGGGGTCTCCTCTCTGCCTGGCAGGTCCTGAGACAGTTCAGTATCAACCTCTCCGAGGAGGAGTTCTTCCACATCCTGGAGTATTACGACAAGACACTGTCTTCCCAAATCCCCTACAACGACTTCCTCCGGGCCTTCCTGCAGTAGCTGCCCGCCACGCCACAGTGCTCCGGGGGTGGGTGGGCCTGTCCCCGAGGCCACCAAAGTCATACGACTCGGGGAAGGGGGGTCATGAACTTCCCAAAGTTCAAACCCACACCCATGCCGGACACGCGTCTTCCCTGGCAGTCAGCCCAGGCTTGGCACAGCCCGTGGCCCCAGCTTCGATGGCATCTCTCCAGACAGCTTCAGGGATGCCCTGCTGAGCTGCAGGACCCTTCACTCTTAGTCTGAGCAAATAAAAATGTTACTCGTTGCAGGAATGATTCTTGAGACTTCAAAAGAACCACCGATGATAAAATACTTGGAATTTCTGGAGCTTTTATATATGATAGCTTGCTGGGTGCCTGAGAAACAGATCTGCCCCTCCGCCCCTGCTGGGCTGTCCTCGGGGCCACCTTTCTGCCCCTGGAGGCACAGGCGCCACCTGACATTGCCGTAGAGCAGCCCAACATTTAAGTGGGTCCCTTGTCTGGGCTTCGGGGCTCTGCCTTCCCGTCACTTCTAGGAGAAGTTTTAAATTGCTGTAGTCCCTTCTGCCTATTGTGAAACAGAAGGGAGACATAGAGTTTGCTGCCTTCTGGAAGCTTCTGGAAGGAACTTGGGAGAAGCAGACAGAATAACTGCCCCTGAGCTGCATGGTACCAGCTGTCAGAGAGGGGTGACGGCAAGGAGCCCTTGCTGTCACCCTCCCCAGCAGGCCCCAGGCCTATCACTTCTCTGCTGCCATCTCAGCCCCAGGCCGTGCAGGCCAAAGCCACCGAGCAGAGACCACCTCCCCTGCACCCCTGCACAGGTCCCACAGAGGCTGTGGCCTCAAGTGAGCCGAGCTCCCCTCCTAGAAGTGAGCACGGGGGAAGAGCAGCCACACCCATCACAGGCCCTCTATTTCCAAATATTTTGCTGGGCCGCCTTTGTCTCCACGTGTCCAGGGTTCCTGCCTCAGTTCAGACCGGACCCCAGACTAAGAAGGGTGGGCTCATGGCGGAGGCTATGACACCAGCTTCCGGCAAAGGGGCGGCCACCTCCACCTGGAATCTCACCACACGAACAGGCCGCACTGGCAGGGCTGGCCCTCCTCCATCTTACCCTCTGGCAGCTCCTGTTCCCCCAGGGGGGCTCGGAGGTGGGGGCGAGCGGGTCTCCCCTCAGCATCATCGTGCTGGTTTCTCTCTGTAAACCAGATTTGATTTCACTCAGATTGTATGGGTCTGAGGACCTTGCCAAGGTGGTGGCCAGGAAAAGCATGGCCCATACACGGGGTGGGGTGGGTAACCAATAACAGGTGTCCCCGAAGGAGCCCAGATGTTGGACTTAGAAACTTTAAACCAGCTGTTTTAAAAAAATTCAGAAGCTAAAGAACAAAAAGCCTAAGAGCAAAAAGTACAAGAACAATTTCTCACCATAATACAGGATATTAAAAATGTTAAATAAAGTATTAAAAAGAAACAAATAGAAATTCTGGAGTTTGAAAAGCATAACAAATTAAAAATTCACTGGGGGGCTTAACAGCAGATTTAAGGGCACAAAAGAAAGTCAGAAAATGTGAAGATGTGAATTGAGGCCATCCAATCCAAAGAACAGAAAGTAAAAATAGGCAAGAAAAATGTACAGAGCCTCAGAGGTCTATGGAGTACCATCAGGCGACCGGCATACACGCAGTGGGACCCCAGGAGGAGAGCAGAGAAGGGAGGGGCAGAAAGAGTTGTGGAGAAATGACAGCCAGAATCTTCCCAAATTTTAAGAAAAACATGAATATACACATACAAGGAGTTCCACAAACTCCCACGAAGGTAAACTCTCAAAGAGACACACACAGTTAGACCTAACATTTCAAACATACGCTCATCTCAATAGATATAGAAAAAGCATTTGACAAAATTCAGCACTAATTCATAAGAAAAACTCCTAGCAAACTATGAGCAGAAGGGAACTTAACTGAATAAAAGATGCTTATAAAAAAAGTGCAGCTGACATAATAGTAAATGGTAAGAGATTGTTTCCCTAAGATTAGGAAGAAGGCAAGGATGTCCCCTCTCATCACTTTGTTCAACATTGTACTGAAAGTCCTAGCCAGTGCAATCAGGCAAGAAAAATAAAAAGTGTCTCTATTTGCAGATGATATGGTTATCCACATAGGAAATTCCAAAGAACCCACCCAAAAAGCTAACAAAGTGAGGTATGTAAGGTCAATATACAAAAGTTAACCACATGCTGTATACCCCCAATGAACAACCGGAACGTAAAGTTTGAAAAACAGTACTACTTACAATATCCCCAGTGAAGTGCTTTAGGTATAAATCTAACAAAATGTGTGCAGATCTGTATGATGAAAACTGCAAAGCATGGATGAGAGAAAGAAATGCAAATTAATGGAGAGATCAATGGTTTCCATGAATTGTGACTCAAGAGCTGTTAAAGTATCTCTCCTGTCCAGTTCGATCTGCAGATCCTATGCAATCCCGATCAAAATCTCAGCAAGATTTCTTTTGTATGCCACCAAGTTAATTCAAAAACGTATATAGAAAGGTAAAGGAACTGGAATAGCCAAAGCAATTCTGAAAAAGAACAAAATTGGAGAACTCACACTGCCCAATTTCAAGATTTACCCATAAGTTATAGTAACTAGACGAGTGTGATATTGGCAAAAGGGCAGGCTTTTAGATCAATGGAACAAAACAGAGCCCAGAAATACACCCGCACAAACACAGTCAACTGGTTTTTGACAAATGTGCAAAGACAGTTCAATTCAATGGAGAAATAATGTCCATATGCAAAAACATGAAACTTGACACATAGGGGCCTCATGTGTCATGTAGAACTCAACTCAAAATGCATTATAGACCTCAATGTAAAACATAAAATTATAAAACTTCTACAAGGAAACATCAGAGAAAAACCACATGACTTTGGATTTGGCGATGAGTTTTTAGTTACTACACCAAAAGCACAGTCCATAAAAGAAAAAATTATTAAATTGGACTTCATTAAAATTAAAAACTTATGCTCCAAGAAATTGAAGAGAATGAAAAGACAGCCCACAGACTGGAAGAAAAGATTTGCAAATCAAGTATTCAATTAAGGACTTACATCCAGATCGTAAAGCACTCTTAAAACTCACAAACAAGAAAACAACCTGTTTTCAAGGAAGGGGACAAAAGATCTGAACAGACACTTCACCAGAGAATATATGTGAACAGCAAGTAAGCATATAACAAGCCACTCAACATCATTAGTCATTACGGATATGGGAGTTAAAAGCACCATGAGCTACAACACACACCTACTCAATGACTAAAATGTTTTGAATTGACAGTATCGAATTCCCGTGAGGATGTGGACTGACAGGAACATGCTCATTCATTGCTGGCCGGATTGCAAAAACATACAGCCATTTTGGAAAACTGTGTGATTAAGAAGAGGCCAAACAAGGAATTTGGTAGCGGGGGGTGGGGGCAAAGGAACTGTTCCCTATGGTCCTGGGGTGGCATATACAGAACTCTGTGCATTTGTAAAACCCCTCACAACTGAACACTACAAAGATTGAACAAGTTTAAAACAATTTTAAATGCAAATTTAAAACAATCAACCAGGATATCAGGGAATCTCAGGATGGGATGTAGACTGTGACAAAAGAATCTAATTGTATTACAACTGAATGACAGCCTCACAGGGGAGGGAAAGGAGCTGACCCTCTCAACCTTGGCAGTTATTTCAACCTCAAAACAGAAAAGTTAGACTGCAAAACTAAAGATAAAAAGGATTGGGCTAAGTGCTGTACTCTAGCCTGTAACTACATTTCTTACAAAGGTACAGATCAGCAATTCTGAAACTACTTTGTGGGTACATCAGGATTGAACGAATGCATAAATAGAATGTAGAGACGGGAGCCAGACTTCTCATTGTCAAGACAAGTAACTAATACACAAGACAGGAAGGCGAGAATGAATTCTGCATTGCTGGGGTAGAGTCGAGGATGGGAATGGGGATCAATATGAACTAAGGCTTCTTTCAGTATAAAGAGATGATAGGTGGATGGGTGGATAGATATAGAGATAGCGGTAGGTAAATGTGTGCATAGATGGGTTAGTATACTACATGAATTTCCCAGATCTGTCCACTGAGAGGGCCTAGAAGTAGTGATACCCCAGCAGCAACTAGCACATCTACAACCCAGATCTTAGTTTCTAAATAAAAGGAGCTCGATTTCTCTGGAGAAATGGCTGATCTGGGGCTGAGCAAGGAAAATACAAAATGAGCCTGGATCATCTTGTAGTGCCATAAAAGGAGGTGAAACACATGGGGGATGGGGGTCACCTGGGCCCCCGTCAAAAGGGCGCTGGAGCCAACTTGAAAGAGCTTCCAATGGACAAAGAACACATTGTACAGCAAAATAAATAATGATACTATTAGATTATAATCTGAAAAATAAAATAGCCATGAGTCCATGCCAATATAAATAAATAAATGGCAGGGAAGGGACAAGTCTTCCTTATAGAAAAATCCAAGTAATGTAGGAGGAAAGGAGAAAGAGAAATCAGCATGAGAAGATCACAGCAATTGCTCCGGGCAAGATCCATGGATGGATCTAAAATTAGTGGACAAAACCTTAAGGAGAAACAGGATATTTGCGTAGACTCAAAATATCCCCCCATACAGTGATTTAACATATGGCCACAAATTCTTTGATATTCTCCCTTCTAGAAGGGGGAACTTAATTCCTCTCTCCTCGAGTGTGAGCTGGACTGAGTAAGGCAGTGGAGAGACCCGGCAGGCACCGCCTTAGCCCTGTGACCAGGCCGCCATGACAGCCCGTGACCCTGCATGTGGCATCTTAGGACACGTCCTCACCGTGCTGCTCCTTCTGTTATTATATAAGTACATCACCCAGGCTAATCACGGAAAACATCAAACCCAACTTGAAGGACACTCTACAAAACCCTCAACCGGTATTCTTCAAAACTTCTAGGTCATAAAAAGCTGGGAAAGACAGAAACCACCACAGACTCGAGAGATTAAGGAGGAAGGACCACTAAATGGCGCATGGTACCTGGGGTTGGATTCTAGAACAGAGAAGGGATATTGATCAAAAACTGTGGAGGTTAATGTCTTAGTGTTGATAACGTACTATGGTTACATAAGGTGTTAACATGAGGGAAAACTGAGTGAAGGGGACAGAGGAACTCTCTGTACTATTTTTGCAACACTTCAGTAAATCTAAAATTATCCCAAAATAAAAAAGTTTTAGCAATGGGAAAAACATTTCCTGCTGTTCAGGGCCCAGCTAGACTCCTTCCTCCAGGAAGCTTTCCCTGATTGTCCCTGTACTTTGGTTTCGCTCTTCCTCGGGGGCCTCAAGCCTGACCTCGTGTGCCACTCACCGGGCCCCAAGCCTATTAAGACCTGAAGGTTTCTGCTGCTTTCCTGTGATCAGATGAGCCTTCTCAGGCACCATGAGCTTCCAGACGGCAGAGCCTAATCCCCACACCTTGGAGATCTTCACAGTCCCTGCCTTCAATGGGTGGGTGGGACTGAGAGCCCCCAGGAGTAGCCAGAGCCCTCTGGGAGAGGGCCCCCAGCTTGTCAGTCCTGTTTGGGCCCAGCTGGGGGCATGAGTGACTAATGGGGAAAGCACTGGCAGAAGCCATTGTCCCCAGAGCTTGTCACCTCCACTAGTTTATTCAAGAGGCTGGGAAAAGGGTCTCCTGGAAGAAAATGGCCTAGGAATTTGGTCCTCATGGAGGTTCAGAGATCAGCTCCTTGGAAGCCGAATTGCAAGAAAAAGCCCCTGGAATGTGAACTTACCCAAAGGGCAGAGGGAGAGGAGCAAGAGCATTGCTGGACTGCCCCCTGGGGCTCCCGTGAGTAACAGGAGGGCCATCTGGGACCGCATTCTATATCACCCCCCCTGCCACGCACACGCTAGGAGGAAGATGCCCATGAGCCCGAGGGCTGCGTCACCAAGGGCCGAGGCACGGGGCACCCTGGCGCCTCCGCTTTTGGTCCCTCCTCACCACGGGTGCAAACAGCACCCAAATCGGAGCCCATCTACGCCGAGGGCAGCAGGAGAATGTGGTGTCTCGGCAGCGTCAGGACCCCAGCGCACCACAGCATCGCCTGCAATGCGGCACTTCTCCTAAAGGTGGCGCTGCCACAGAAGGTACCTGCCCCTGCCCGGCAGCCCTGCTCCGCTTCCCGTTGGCACCTGCAGTCAGGCAGCTCCTCGTGGCTCAGGATGGGTTGGTGTAGGTACCCGTGAGGCCCTGGTGGAGGGGCAGGTTACAGGTGGGGCCGTTTGAGGACAGGAGAGAGTCCTGCTTCTGCTGTGCCCCAGGCTGCTGCTCGTGCCTCCACACACCCCTGGGAGACTCCCCCCAGACCTCGGCTTTGGGAATGACCCACAAATGTAGATCTCCAGGGAGCCTCCTCCCCTCCAGGTTCATTCATTCCCCAGCCACTGGACGCCTCCCCCGGCACATCCCAAGGGCACCTCCCGTTCACGAGTCCCCAGCAGTACTCCATGTCCCTCCTCAAAGCTGTTCTTCCTGCTCCCATGCTTCCCCTCTGTGACCGGCAGCCGACATCTATTGTCATCCTGGGCTCCCTCACCTTCATCCCATCCACCCTCACCAATCCTAACTCGGTCACTGCTACCCTTGCCACCTCCCTTGTCCAAGCCAGGCCCTTTGGAAGTGCTCAGTGAATGTTTCAGAGTAGATGAGTGGAGGGAGGGAGCGAATGGATGGGTGGATGGACGGATGGACGGATGGATGGATGGATGGGTGGGTGGATGGATGGATGGATGGACGGATGGACGGATGGATGGGTGGGTGGATGGATGGACGGACGGACGGATGGATGGGTGGGTGGGTGGGTGGGTGGGTGGATGGATGGAGGGAGGGAGGAAGAGAGGAATGGATGGATGGATGGATGGATGGATGGATGGATGGATGGATGGATGGATGGATGGATGGATGGATGGATGGATGGATGGATGGATGGATGGATGGATGGATGGATGGATGGATGGATGGATGGATGGATGGATGGATGGATGGATGGATGGATGGATGGATGGATGGATGGATGGATGGATGGATGGATGGATGGATGGATGGATGGATGGATGGATGGATGGATGGATGGATGGATGGATGGATGGATGGATGGATGGATGGATGGATGGATGGATGGATGGATGGATGGATGGATGGATGGATGGATGGATGGATGGATGGATGGATGGATGGATGGATGGATGGATGGATGGATGGATGGATGGATGGATGGATGGATGGACGGACGGACGGATGGATGGATGGATGGATGGATGGATGGATGGATGGATGGATGAAAACAGCAGAACTTTTGCAGCTTGGGGAGTTTTGATACTGGGGTCATTATACCCACCAGTGCTTTTCTTGGGCAACACCTGGATGCTTATTTTGACAAGGGCTGGGTCAACATGCTTCTTTCAGGAGGATCCCAGAGCTAAGGTCATCTTGAGGTACTCAGGTTTGGGGACCCAGGCAGTCAAGGTATTTGAACGCAATAGCGCTCAGAGTGCCCAAGTCAAGCACTCGGGAGATCGCCCCACCGACAGGAAGCTGGAGCAAGCAGAAGGCTGCAGTCGTTGCCATCTGAACTGTCTGGGACCGAGAACTTGGCCAGGAGGTGCAGCCCCTTCCCTATGTGCCCCCACAGCACCCAGAGATGAGAAGAGGCACCGCACAGACATCTCTTTCTTTTTACAAAGACTTTATTGTCTGACATGCTTGACAAAAAAATCACAGCCACAATCAAGTTATGCCAAAATGATTGAGGAGCACGCCATCATCTTTCATACCTCGGGACTTTCAATGAATTTTCTTTTAAAGTAACAGCTGCCTTCATAACTTTTCCACATAAAAATACACCATATTCTGAAGATACCTTAGGAAAAAAGTTTTTCTAAGTTTATGTTCTTGGTCCACATAGAGATTCAGTAGAGGCAAACTGCCAGGGCTTCGTGGCTTCCCTGGCCCGCACGGGCACAAACGTCATGCGTCTGGGGCATCCCCGGAGACCTTGTCGACATCTCCGGCCACCAGGAACCACCTGGGCCCAACAGGGCACCTGAGGCCCTGCACCCCACAGAGCAAAGCTGGCTCGGCCAACATGGGGTGCTCTGGGCAGTGCTCCTTGCCCCATGGGGAGCCCCACTCTGAGTAGGAAAGGAATCGCAGCCCCAGACACCGGGGTGCTGGGCTCAGGGAAGAGGAACCCTCAGGGCTCCAGGGGCTCTCTGTGAGAAACGAACCAGACGGGCTCCGAACAGGACCCTTAGAGACAGGAGGCAGGCTCTGGACCGTGCATGGCCTCGTAGGGGCGGAGCTCTGGGGCTGGCAAAGCAGGGGCCGTGAAGCCAGAGACAAGGCCCCAGTCCTCCTTCTGCCCCTTCTGAGCTGTGCATCCTCGGTCCAGCTTCCTCGCCTCTCTGACCTCGATCTCCTCACCTCCAAACTGGGGCAACAGTACCCACCTTGCAGGACTGCCTGAAGATGAAATGAGATTGTATCAGCAAAAGGCTCATTAAATGCTGGTCCCAGGGCTGGGACAAGGGCCACCTCTCAGGTGCACAAGTTAAGGGGAACCAAAAACTCAGTATTCAAGAGAAAGGATACTATTTTAATGTAATGTTTTGGTTTGAAAAATCAAAATTGATGCAGAAAAATCCATGATGAACAAAATATAGAAATTTTAAAAAGGACAGAAGCTGACCCTTCCCCCCTCACCCCCACCTCACCCTAACCAGGCCCCACGCCGCCGCCTCCCTCAGACTCGGCCCAAAGCCCCAGTCCTAATGTAAGGGAGAAAGAGAGGCCCCCGCGCCACCACCCTCCTGTACCAGGGCCAACCAGCCCTGGGCAGTGAGGACTATGAGCCCTTCGGCTGCCTTCAGCTATGGGCACCCAGACGGCTGCCAGATGGCGCGAGAGAAATCGCACCAAGGGAGAAAGAGGCCATTCGAGGACAGTAATGAGAAACATGGGATCCACTTCATCAAGTTAAGGGGGTAGGGGTGTGTGTACCCACACGGGCACATACATGTCGCAGGGTTGCCTTGGCCTGTGGACGCCCCCAGGCGGTTGAATTCCACAGAGCAGCACAGCCCCCAAGTTCCAGGGGTCATCCATGACTCGGGAACCCTCCTGCAGGTCCTGGGCACTCAAACGGCTCATCCTGTAGAACCAACCCCCCAAATCCAGGCTCTGAGTGGTGCCTGGGACGCGCAGGCCGTTGTTCAAGTCAGCAAAATGCCCACAGGAGAAAAACGGGAACAACGCAAGGCAAACGACTTGTTGGCCTGGCCAGGTGCCACCGAATTCCTGAGATGTCCCTGAACACTCCCTCAGAGGATGGCAGCTGTGAAGCAGGCCTGTCTCCTCTCCAGCCAGAGAGGAAAGGGCAGGCCATTTGCAGCCAGGCGCCGAAACCTCCCACCCACCCTCCACCCCTGGGGCTTGCAGCCACACAGACCTTCAGTTAGAGGGAGATTTTGTGCAAGAACTTCCAAAATCTGTCCAAGAGCAGCAGCTTCCCAAACCCACGAGGGTGTCCTACCCAGAAGGATGAAGATCCATTCATTTCCCAAGCAGCACAGAGTCATGAACTTGTTCGGCCCTTTAACAAGGTGCACAGAATGTACACACAGAAAACAGTCATGAGTGAAGAAACCCTGACAGGGACCTGCAGAGTCCCAACTCAGGGTGACAGAAGGCTGAAGAGTCAGGAGTGATTTTCTTCATTCCAAGTCCTCGACTTGTCTGCTGGGCTGGTCCCGTTGCCAGACAGGTTGTCTGCATGGAAGGAAGGGTGGCTGGGGTCCGTGCTCTCGGCCAGGCATATGTAGCTAACGTGGACCAGAAGGGCTGGGACAGCAGAGGCAGTCAGGAGTTCCGGGGTGTGGGGAGGTCGATGACTATGGGTGGATTGACAGGCTGGTAGTTGACGGTGCACACGGATGCATTCACATAAGTGGTCGTCCCGTCCGCCATGACACCATACCCTGGAAAGTAAACACATGCCCGTTAGGGCTGAGGGGCAAGGCCAGGACCCAGTGTGGCGGGGTTGGTCTAGCAGATGTGGTAGCCAAAGGGCACTCAGCCACATGGGCTGCATAAGTCTGAGGCAAGCTACGAGAACTCTCAACTTAGTGTCTTCATCTGTAAATAGAGATGATGACGGATGCTCCTCCCAACACTGCTGTGAGGATCAAATGAGCAAATAATCCAGGTACGGTGTTCAGCCCAGTGCCTGGATGGCACATGGAAAGCATAGAGTAAAACATTGAGATCATCACCACAACCATCAGCGCCACCACCACCATCACCATGACCATTACCATCACCAACACCATCATCACCACCACCATCTTCACGACCATGACCATCACCGCTCCCACCACCATGACCATACCCGTTACCATGACCATCACCACCACTGCCACCGCCATCGCCATGACCACCACCATGACCATCATCGCCATCAGCATCAGCATCTTCATCGCCATCACCATCAGGTACCTTCTTCCCTTAGCCTCTGCCCCCACCATGCCTTCTCCCCACCACATCTATTTGTTTGAATCTTCCTCATCCTTCAGCTCAGATCACCTCCAAACCAGAAGGGACACTTCTGCCTGTGAAGGTTACACATTCTTTGGACACCCAGGTTTGCCTGCATGATTGTGCAAAGGTGTGGTTTGGAAAACACACAGCCTTAGATCTGATGGCCCTACATGCCTATAATAGGGCTGCAGAAAATTACAGCATTATTATTATCCCACAGCACCTGAGTCTTCCATTCTGCCTTTGATTACCCATCTGCTGCCCAGAAGTCTGTGAGCTCCTTGGGGCCAGGACAGATCTGATCACTCCTGCCTGCTGACAACATGCTGCAGAGGCCCCTGGGGAAAGGTCTGAGGCTGTTTGCGTCTGAGCTAGAAAATGATCTGATGCAGGCCAGGCACGTGTGAGGCCCAGAGGCCTTGGCCCAACTCAGACAGAGGTTCAGGAGACCAGGAGACAGCTCTGCAGGAAAACACATCAGTACCCGTGCCCCAGGGGGCCAGCTTCCTGGCAGAGAGGGATAGGAGAGGGAGGCCTTCGGCAGTGAAATACAGGTTCAAAAGGAGCAAACTGGTGAAATCAGGCCCTGGGAGGGAGCCTGAAGTCTAATGAGGCAAGCGTGCAGTGGCACGCCAAGGTGTGGGCATGGGCAGTCAGGAGTGGAGTGCCACCCTGTCGACTGTCCCACAAGGCGAAGTGGACCTCCCCCACCACTCCCACGGCGTGGACACAGCAGGGGTCCCAGCTCCCCAGGACAGAAGCCAGAAGGCCATGTCTGTATGTGTGTGTGCTGGGGCCGCAGAGTGAACTGCCCACTAGGAGCCTCTCAGGCATGCAGGCAGCCCTCCACATTTATTAAGCACCTAATGTGTGCCAGGCCGTAGGGATGTAAGTGACAAGACAGGACCACCAGCCTGAAGGAACTCACAGTGTGCCTACCAAATCTGAGGGCTCCTCCCTGTCACAGTCAATGTCCTTCCTCCAGAAAGCCCCCTGCGCATCTCCTGAAGGCTTCCAGGCTCGAGGCAGAGTTGCAGGGCCCCAAGGAAGGAAAATTCGCTCCCAAGTTTTGCCAGATTTTGCGTTCATCTTCCTATTATTAAACATTCCAGCAATAAATGACAGCCAGTGTGTGGATGTAGAGGGCATGTTAGAAACGAGCTGTTTCCCTCCAGCAGAGAGACCAGGGGGGCAGCAACCAGGCCAAAGAGGGGAGCCCCCTCCCTCACCCACTGACCTTCATGGATGTGGCCGAAGACATGCAGCCGTGGCTGGACACGCCTCTGCACTGTGTTAAGAAGCTCCACGCAGCCCACCCGCTGCATCTTCTTGGGGACCCAGTCCAGAAAACCTGTGCAGGGGACAACAGGAGGGCAATGACGGATCCAGGCAGGCCCAGCCCCTGGCCCCCAGGCAGCAGCTCTGGCAACCTTGGAGACACGGGGGGTCCTGGACCCACGGGCCTGGGCATATCTCTGCCCCATGCCCCCAGCCGGCTCTCGCAACCCTGCCCTCCTCCCTCAGCCCTCTGGCACGGACACCTGGCTCTTCCCATACCGGCTGGAGCCTGGCAGCCTCGGCTGCCTCCCCTGCAGGGCCACACAGACAGCTATGCCTGTAAGAGCCTAGAGTGGACCAGGCATGCAGGTGGGGGGGTGGTTCTTGATAACTGCTCCAAGTGGCCTCAAAGGTGGCATCCACCCATTGCAGAGATAAGCACGCTGACCCCTGCTTGGGCTAGGTGAGGCCCAAGGGCACCTCCAGTGGCTGGCAGCAGAGCAGAACCCAGGAGCAACATTTCCACGTCTGAGACTTTCTAAGCAAACATCACCAAATCATGAAAATGAACTTCATTCAAATGCAGCATCGCTCGCACGGCCCACGTCTGGGTCGGCTCACACCGCCAGCAGCCCGGAGCGGCCCCATATGGCGGCTGCTTATTGTCCTCACATGGCTACACAAACGAAGCATAATTGATTACCCCACGCAAGCAACCAGGGTTGCCTAGACCCTCTCTGCGTGGGCAAAGCCAGCTTCTACAACCACGGGGAGCAGGAGGGGCCTCCAATGAAGAGCCAGGCAGGCTGCAGAGCTGCTGACCCCAGAGGTGGGAGAGATGGAGGGAGATAGACAGACAGACAGACAGAGAGGGAGAGACAGGAGGAAGTCGGGGAGGAGGAAAGAGAGAAGGGAGGCCGAAGCAGGCGGGGAGTAGGCTTGGGGCAGACACCACCTGGGGTTCCGTCCCAGGCTCTGCTACCTGCCTGCTCTGTGCCCTTGGGCAGGTCACTGGCCTCTCTGTGCCACATTCAACAGTTGGCCCCACAATCAGGCTGGGCTGGGACTGAGCACACGGGCATTGCCCGAACATGAGCCTGTTTTGTGTGTGAAGTGGGCCTGGTGGGGGCATCCAGAGAACAGGAACCCGAAAGATGCTGTTCGGAGAAATTGATGGAGGGTGGTAAGGTGGTAAGGAAGAGGGCAGGGAGAGGGACAGAACCACTGCCGGGAGCCTCACTGTAAATGACCGAGGACACGGGGCACCCAAGGGAAGCCACCCCTGGTCAGGAGGCTTCGGGCAGAGCTCACAGGGCTGGTCGCGACCCTTCTGTGCCCAACTCCCCCCAACTGCATGGCGGGGCCCCAGGACTCAGGGCTCCCTCTGTTTGTGAATGGGGGTAAGAAAGCCTTCCTTGCAGCACTCTGCCAAGGCAGAGGTGCTGAGGGCTGCCCGAGGGCATCAGATGGGCACCTGGCACACAGTAGGTTTCAGGGCAGCTTCTTCCTGAGCAGGTTTCTGAGCCAATGACCCTCAAGCTATGCTCACCTCACCCAGAAGCCTTCACTTGTGTGAGTGTGTTCCTGCCCCGCCACGGGCAGCCTCAGGCCCACAGAGCAAGCACCAAATGGGGTCAGGGGTCAGCCCTGGGCCCAGTACCACCCGTTGGGCCCTAAACATTGAGGGGCAAAGGCAGGTTCGGTGGAGGCAGTGGGGGTAGGAAAAGGCTGGTCTGCAGGGAGGCTGAACTTCAGTCCAAGGGCTGCAGGAGCCATGAAGAGCTGTAGGGGGACAGCGTAGCATGGTGTCGCCTCAGAGGCGCTCCCCTCCTGGACCAGAAGGGGCGAGATTCGAGGCTGGGGGCCAGTAAGGACATCATCGTGGTCATCAAAGACACACAGACATTGTCTGGGCCGAGGTGGGCATGGTGATGCCGAGGAGCCCAAGGGCACAGACACATGGGCCGAGGTGGGCATGGCAATGCCGAGGAGCGGGAAGGCAGGGACACATGGGCTGAGGTGGGCATGGCGATGCAGAGGAGCCGGAGGGCAGGGACACTTGGGCTGAGGTGGGTGTGGCGATGCAGAGGAGCCCGAGGGCAGGGACACAGTTTAGAGGTAGACTCGAAGGGGGGTGTGCAGCTGGGCAGGAAGTGGGTGTGAGGAAAGGGGGCGACTGAGACAGCCCCGACATAGGGCGGCCAGCAGGGGCCCAAGCGGCAGTTAGCAGCTAATGGAGAGACCAGGCGAGTGATGACATCAGCTGGGACCAAGCTGACGGTGGCAGTGGGGTGGGGAGGGACGTTGGAGGTGGAATACGCAGGTCCCAGGGCCTGTTGGGAGGGCTGTGGGCGAGGCCCTCCAGACATCCAGTGGGACGAGGTGTGCATGGGACAGAGCCCAGAGAATGGCCTTGGCAGGACCCACATCTGGAGAGCCAGGGGCCCGGCCTGCCGCCTGACCTCCCTGAGCTCCGGCATGCCACTTGTTTGAGATGGCCAATGATGCTGACCTCCCCACAGGGCTGAGAGGGGTCCACACGGTGACAAGTGAAACCCCCAGCACATAGTAGGTGCTCAGGAAATAAGGGGGACAATGGGGCAACTTGCCCCGAATGCCCCAGCAAGTTGGACCCAGAACAGAGCCCATCCGGGGCCCTTCTCAGCAGGCCAGGCTGACCTCAGTGCACAGGCCCAACCGGCCCCCAGCACCCACACCCCCTGACCTGGCCCAGCATGCGCTGGCCTGCCAGGGACCATGGCAGCTGACTCACCCAGCGGCGGTCCATGGGTTATCAGGACGTCTATGCCCTCGGGAATGAGGTTCCATTTCTCAAGCAGCGCTTGGCCTCGTGGGAGGTTAAAGCCCCAGCCATAGAACCAGGGCTGCCTGTGGACGAAGAGCGGACGGTCGAGGGACGGCCCCGTCAGCATGGACCGGGCCAGGTGCCTGTCAAGGGCTGTCGCCAGCATTCTCTTTCCCTTTCCTCTTACTTAACCACAGTTTCTGGTTTTCTATGATGAACAAATACTATTTACATAATTTTAAAACAGGAAAGTTAGAAAAAAAATTAGTTTCTGCCAAAGATCTTTCTTGCTCCAAGCCCGTCTAAGGAAATCCAGAGAGAACATTCTCACCTGTCCCCACCTGGGGAAGGGCTCCTCCGCTCCCTCCCACAGCCCAGGCAGCTGGAGACCCAGGGCAGGAAGTGGGCTCCCAGTGGAGGACACTCAGCCCCGAAGCTGCAGCCGGGACCCCCACTGGGCTGAGTCCCTCCCCGGCTCCAGGGCCAGAGCCAGATGGACTGGGCCGCTTAACAGAACCCCAAACTGCTGCCCGCAGACCTCACCCAATCAATGCCGTCACTCCCCAGAGCTGGTTCTGGGGTGAACCTGCATGCTCTCAAATGGGGGAATCCTAGGCGTTTCTTCCAGTCATGAGAGAAGAGGACATTGCCATCCCCGTGTATAAACCAGAGAGCTTCTTGACTTGGGAGCTGTCACCAGCTATGAAGCCGTCCCAGAGGGAGGTGGCTGGAGCACAGGCCAGGGCAAGCAGCTCCATCAGTCGGTGCCAGACAGCCACCTCGCACGGCACTCAGTCCCACAGGCTGAGGGAAGGCCAGGTGAACTGGCCTCAGGACTGCAGCCACCACCTCCCGGCTGAAAACTATCCCCACATTTGAAAGAGAGCCCCCAGGTTATGCGCACGACAACCTACTAAAAGTGGGCAGAACATGCCAGGCCACCACCTCCCAAGCCCCTCAGAGCCTCTGTCTGGGCCTTAAGGAGGAGGGCTGTGGTCCTGCCATGTTCTTGTAGGGGGAGGTGGGGGGTTCCCCAACACCAGCCATTAGCAGGCTCCAGGGGAACCACCTGTAAGGGGCCTGGGGGTCTGCACTCTAGCCTGTGAGGGAAGACACAGGTGGTGGGAGCAGGCACGGGGGGCCCCAACCACAGGAAGGGCTCACCAAGGGAGGAGACCGGGTGGCTGGGGCTGGGGGATGGCAGCTGCATGGGTGGCACTGGGGACAGTCCCTCAGAAGGCACCACATACCCCAGGCACACCCACACAGGCCTGCCCTTGCATGCCTGCAGAAAGCTGAGAGTTCTCAGAAAAACACACGGCCCTCCCCACCCCCCACCACACACACACACACACACACACACCACAC